CCCCCCCCCCCCCCCCCCCCCCCCCGGATTCATGCTCTGTCTGATTGTACCCTCTGTAGTCCAAGTGCTCAAAGTGGTTCTCCTCCTCCCCTGTATGGACCGTACCCTGACCCGCATTCTGCAAGGCTGGGAGAGGACAGGGCGTATGGCGGAGATGGATGCAATTAAGTGCACAGACCTCTGAACTCTGGTTTCTAAAGCCTTGCGGCTAATTGTTAGTGGGAGAAGTATTTCTATGATAGAAAAAAATATTTTAAGTAAACAAATAGTGCATATATTTTATTCATATTTTGAATGTGTAAATACAAAAAAAAAATCTAGAGGACTGTATGTTTTCTTACGAAGAGAGCAAAAACCAGTCAAACAAAATAAGAAGAACAGTGTGAATTATTGAAATCCATTGTTTTGACATACATAGTATTTTTCTTGTTTCACGCTTCTTTTTGTGCTTCTATTACACTTTTTCACTTGCTTTCTTTCTGGTTGTTGATCTTTGAGTTTTCTGACAGTAATACCTCACTCTACAAATCCTCCTCCCTTTCACACGTTTGAGCTACATTCACATCTGCACATGAGCAGTGCAACGCATAATGTGTTAAAGTTGATTAGTGTTGTTTTCACCCATACAGATGTACAGTACACACAAAGATCCTCACATCAACAACAACAAAGACTGTGAGGGTGAAAGGGAAACTTTGAGGCAAAACAAAGACTTGAGGCAATGGTTCAGATTTTTTGAAGTAGGATTCTGTGAAGACGTTATGAACAATTACTGTCTTACCTGCAGTAGATATCTTTTAACGAAGAATACAATTTTAAATCTTATTGGACAGTCAAGTGAGTCTAAGTAGGGCCATGCAAGACCAAAGCCACTTTCTACAAATCTCAAAGAGGCTCGCCCATCCATCCATCCATCCATCCATCCATCCATCCATCCATCCATTCATCCATCCATCCATCCACCCATCCATCTTATGGGAATTTTAAGCCATTTTTCTCAGATTTTTATTAACATTTTCTTGTGAGTAAACTCAAACAATTACAGTTTAGTGCAACTTAGGGAATTTTAAAAGCATATTACTAATTATCATTTTTTCACTTATTTATTATTCAATGCTATTTCTAAATATTTTACCATAAGGATAATATTTCCTTGTCAGAAAAAGATGGTGTTGGGTACAATTAGTACAGCAGTTGCCAGGAGGAAAATAAAACTAACATAAAAAAAACAAACACTAACTCTTTACTGGGCCAGAGCAAAGATTGCGTTTCATGAGTGAGGCAATAATGACAGCAATTGTCTGATTCAAAACGAACAATAAACATCCATTCATCCATTTTTTTTCCCCTCGCTTTTTCCTTTTTGGGTTGCAGTGGCCACTGGTGCTCATGTCCAGCAGTCACTGTGCAAGAGGCAGGGACACCGTGGACAGGTCTCCAGTCCACCACAGGGACACATAGAGACAAACAACCGTTCGCTTTCTCACTCACTCTCAAGTGGTGCAATATCACATGAATGCTCTTTAGCAAAACAACACTGCATCACTTTTGTATTATATTTCTATTAAACTAAAAGTCTATGATTATTTAGAGTAAAGTCTGTTGTTCTACTGTCTGTTACAAGGATGATCCATGTAAAACATATATTTCAACACATGAGTTATGCATACTTGGCTAGTATAACTTAGTATAATAGAGAAGTAAAGTGGTGTAAAAACAAACAAACAAACAAGCAAATATATATATATATATTTATATATATATATATATATATATATTTTTTTTTTGTCTGAACTACTGTCAAGTTTTTGGTTTTCCAGTGAAACCCACTTCAAAGGTTTGAACTGTCCCTTTATTACTCAGAGCTTGCATTGTAACAATATTTACTATTGCATATTATTTTATGGTGTAATAAGCACCAACAAATCTACATGTGTGAAACAATTTGGTACAAACAAAACATTCAGACTAGCAAGTCTGTACAACAATGATCAGTTCAGCTAAACTGGCAGATGAGGAAGTACCTGATCCAGACAAATGTTAAAAACGATGACTGAGAATCTCCACCAACGTAGTACCTGATGAGCAGAGGAGTAAAACTTGCAGTGAGAAAGTGGAAATACTTAGAAGTAAGTTTGTCCAACACTAATGATCCAGAGGTGGAAAATAAAATAAAAAGGAAGTCTGCTGTTGTCAAGACAGAGTGTGAAGCTAAATGAGAAATCCCCCTCACACACACACACACTCCCCTCCTTTATTATTTTGCCTACAGCAGAACATTTAGTCAGACATCCTGTTATCTTGCATCTAAAATAATTATCTGCACATACAATCTGTAATCCCTTACACACTCTCACATTGTGTTAATATCAAAGAACTGTTGTTGATTTTGGCCTACTTCCTGCTGTTGGAGAAGCGTTTGGCTTTGTGTGTACATGAGTGTGGTGTGTATGTGCATATGTGTGTGAGATGGTATGTGTACTGAAACGTTTCAATATTTACTTGGAGTGGAAATTGTAGCCACATGCTACAAAGCTGTGAAACAAACATGCTTACTGTACTGTTTTATTTAATTTTACAGTCCTAGACAGCTCTGACACCTTCATTAACTTGCAGATAACCCCAGCTGTGCGAAAATTAACAAACATCAAATTTAATAGACTCTGCACTCAAGATTTATCCATGAAATAGATTTATAAACGGTGAACCTTTGCTGTTTTTGTCCAATATGAATACAAAATTGTGTTAGTTCATTTTAATCAAATGGTTTAATATAAATTTTATTACAATGACTTTTGATTTGCTCCATCTTTTTTGTTTCTTAATAGTTGTATTTCAGCTTGTAAAGACCTTAATAAAATTAATAAATGAGTCTCAAGAGCTGTGGACTTGCTAAAAGTGGTGCATTTAAGACTGAACAGCATGGATTAAGACATTCTGGCCCAGGACATCAGTGGGTGCGAAGTGAATCTAAAACAAGGCTTTCTTATTGTCTGTTGAATTAGACCTGCAATAGTCTTATTTTTTCTGTCTACTGAGATAAAAGTTGCCTTCTATTACATCAGGAAGCAGCTTGGTGATCACAAGAGGCATTTTTAGAGTTCTCCGGCAGAGCTCGGTGCCTTAATTGATTCAGCAAAAATGTCAAGAGAGGTGTTTGAGGTGAGTAGTGTTACTGCTGCAGCTCCTCTCTTGGCAGCCTAATTTATTGTGGAAGTCCCTGGAAATTTGGAAGTAGGCTACATCATTGCCGGTGCCACAGTTTGAGCAATGTTAGCCTCCTTCAGAGAAGAGTTCAGCCTGGTCAGAAACTTATTATGGTGAATAACTACATGTCCCACTTGGTTTCGAGCTAATAGCAAAGAATAGTAAACCGCATCTTGAATACTTATTCAGCATTATGCTGTTTAGGCATGCAGATGAA